AAGCTTTTAATAACTATAGCTGCATCTTTAACGTACCAGTCCTTGCCAAGATTTAAAAAAAGAAATGGCTTCTGTGTCTTTTATATGCCTGGCAAACTTCCGTGTTGTTCTGAAGCTCTGTGTAGGAAAGACCACTCCTCTGAATTATGTGCAAAATTATCATTTTCTATGTCAATTTTAGTTCTTATGCTATTTTTCATCGTACTTTCATTTTTTGAGAATATCTAGGCTGAACGCGCTAATTCTAGCTAAGTCTTTTGTTGCTACTGAGTTTGACTTTTATAATGTCTGTTTGCATTGTCTCTTTTAACCTTCAAAGTCTAAAGTGTTTGAATGCCTGTTTGAATCTATGGGAGCTTCTGACAGCATTTTACTGCCACAGAGGAAAAAAAAATCCTGATGTGTGACAATGAGTGAAAAACGTGTCTCCTCTTCACCTCCGTTGCAGTTATACAAACAGTGGATGGAGTCATCTGAAAAATAATTGTTTGGTACTCAGCAAAAACCTTTCGTATTAAATGTCAGACGTTTTGTAACTTGAGTGTTTTCAGTTGTTCCCCCTCCTGCAGTGTTTTATGCCATGTACCTAATGGAATAACCCTACACAGACTTACTGTTTGACTTTAATCACACTTATATAAAAAGATAATCATTTGCTCAGACAGTGTTGCAGTAATATACCAAACACCCAAAGCTTTTTAGATAAAAAGGTCACTAAATATGAAGTGCCAAAACATCGAGGTCCTTGTTGTTCTTACAGTTTCTATTTTTAACCTAAAAAGGCCACACACTGGTGTAAACCTAATGCAGGTGCCCTTCAACAAATCTCATTATTGCTTTGTCTCAACATCTCTGACCTTTACAAGTTAAACTCCATCACCTGTATTTGCAAGAGTAAAGACAACATGAGAACGATGGCTACATGTAAAGGCTATAAGGTTAAATACAATAAAAGGAAATAAAAAAGAAATAGTTTCTATATATTTCACATCTACCTGGTATATTTCAGTGTTGCCCTGAGAGTTGTGTACTGCTTCTAACAAATCCCTGTTCTTTCACTGTATGTGTTTGGAGAAGATAATGATGTGTTTACACACAGCTATTCATGCTTCACACAGACTTTTCTGTAAGAGGCATGTGTGTACATTGCATTCTTCTCCATATATCAAGATGTGCAGTTGATATTGATTCTGTGTCCCTTATTGTGAGCATCAGCATGTAGCTGTTGCTGAAGATACTGATATAGCTAGCTGAAAGATTTTCCACGTCGAGGGATTTTCATAAGGTAGTGAAGAAGCAGAAGAGGACACAGAAGAACAGTTATCAGAATTCTTTAGGTTAAGCATTGTCAAGCAGATCATGCCCAAAAATATCTACACATCCCACATATAAGCATTATATATAACAGCTTTTGAATGTGTGTGCAAGCCACACATGCATACAATGTGACAGGGACATGATGCCCTACAATAGATCCCAATTTATAGATGGTCACATTGGAGTGGGCTGCTTTTCCTGGCTTAAGGAGCAAGGTTGTTGCCGCTGCTATACTCTGAATTGAGTGTGCTGAGAGAGTTTGCCAGCTCATAGGTTTGCAAGGTGCCTTCACTGTCAGCATAACAAATAATCTGGCTGGACACTGTTTGGAGTGCACAGCCACACTTTTCTTTCAGACGCTCTTTGCTTTTTACTCAACCAGGTGTGGATATTAAAAACAGAAAGAAAAGAAAAAAAGATAAAAAGACATTCAGTTTACCAGCACTGACCTGAAATAACTTTTGATGTTCTTTAGGTCTAAAGAACAAGTTCTAGATTAGAGCAGTTTTTCTCACTTCTCTTGTGAGAAGCACTGAACTTTGGTAAGAGCTGCTGCCAGATAATGTACTTTGTACTTTACAATCACAGGCCTCTACCTGAAAAATAATGGCTCATTGTGTGAGTGGCTTTTGAGGTCATGTTAACCTGCTGCTCTTTGGAGTCACACTATATCTAACATGTTTTAAGCATTTCTAATCCATCAGCTTATATGCTCAATTACATTAATAAACAGTTTTTGCACAATATTGTAACAGCTCTAGACTGTCCTTCACTTAGTGCAGGCTTATATGACTAAAAAAATGTGTTTCATTGGTATTTAAGCTCTGTGTCCCCAGAGGGATAGATAGGCTGACAGGGGAGGTCATGCTGGAGCTTCTGTGGACTAGCATATTCGCAGACAACATTGTGATGTGTAGCGAGAGTGAGGAGCACTGGAGAAACCCTGGAGAGGTGGAGGTCTGCTCTTAAGACAAGATAAATGAATGTCAGTAGAAGCAAGACAGAATACATGCTTATGAATGAGAAGGAGGCTCGTGCTGATGACCTGAGACCAACCATTCAAACCAATGGACTGAGCACAAGAGAGGTGAAGAAGAGTGTAGGCAGAATGGAGTGGGTGTAGATGAGTGTCAGGAGTGATTAATAACAGAAGGATAGCAGCAAGAGTGAAAGAGGATGTCTACAAGATGCTAGTGAGACCTGCTATGATGTTGAGGTGGCAGAGTTGAAGATGTTACGATTTTCATTGGGAGGGACTGGGATGGACAAGATTAGAAATGGGTATATCAGAGGGATGGTAGATATACTGGGCAATGGAGGTAGAAGATGGATCTGCCAGAAAGTAGAGGAAAACAAAGACCACAGAGAAGATTCAAGGATGCAGCAAAGAAGTCCAGAGGGTTGCTGTGACAGAGGAGGATGGTAGGAATAGGGTGGGATCGAGGCAGATGAATTCACACACAATGCAGAGCCCTAATGGGGCAGCTGGAGGGAGAAGAAAATAAGAAAAAGTTTAAATTGTTTATCATTGATCAATAATGATTGTCTAGATTTTCTTGAAGTTTCATACCCACGGTGTTCCGGGGAAGAATCCTATAAAGTTGGACAATCACCTGAATGAACACTGCCATCATCATCAAATTAGTATTGTTGTAATGTAGTGGATTAAAAAGACAAAACATATCAAAATACAACAAGCTAGAACATAAACAATAAATGTTGGAAATAACAAATGTTTGAAAAGATTTAACAATTGGAAAACCCAAGAAAAACCACACAACATAAAACTACTATGAAACTATGAAGTACATCTTTAAAGTAGTGACTAGAAATGTTCACAACTGCAGTGCACGAGTGAAAATGGCTTCAGTTTGTCAGTACTTTGCTTAATATCCATTAGCCTCTGTTGTACTTGTGTAATTTGCTAATCCAAATTAGCATACAACCACAGTAAACTGAGATGGCAAACATTATACCTACTTAACAACAGCATGTTGACGTTTTCATTGTGAGGCTGATGTTTGTGTTTAGATTAAAGCACAGCTGTACTGTGTACCACATCTGTCTTCATGATATCATCTACAGGCTTCAAATGCATCAACCTTTCAGCAGGGATGTTTGCACACTTGCATCGGGGAGACGGCAGCACCTTTCTTCAGCTCACTGTCACATAAATTGGTTTTGGCATAACAAGAATGTGGCTAGGAAGAAAATCCTGAATTAACAAGTCTAAGTTTGATGCACAAGTTCTGTAAGAAAGTTACAAACAAAAAGAAAGTGTTTTTCACAAATATAAATATAACATTTTCAGTCATTTTTAAAATGATGTTCTGCATCACAAACCTTTACTTAATAAAATAATAATTAGATTTAATTTCTTTTCACATGGTTCCATCTTTCACGTTAAGATCCCTTTTTTCTGAGCGTTGCCCAGCCTTGAAATAACACATTTCACACAAACACGGTTAACCGTTATTTCTGAAATGCTGCCTCCATCATCTCCCGAGCAACCTGGAAAACTGACCATAGATGTGTCACATATGATCCTGAAATGAAAGAATGTGATGGTTATGTTCTTTTCAAATAAAATGCAAATTGTAAATCTGTTCCAGTCAGTTCAAGCCAGAAGAATAACTTGAGCTCATCTTTAATTCATGGGAGGACTTACAGTGCTGTGCCAGGGCAGTCTTCTTCCTGCGCGCCGCTAAGAGCAGATTCTCAGAAGGGTCAATGTTACCTTAGGGAAACAGCTGGAAGCAGGCTTCTTACTGAATGTCTTCCACAGTTCTCATACTTTCCGTCCTTCCTCCATCTCCCTGAGAAGCATCCACTGTTGACAAGTGTGAGGAGTTTTGATCCTGGGTATTATCTTTGCAGCTCAGCCAGCAAATTTGAAAGCTGCAAGGTTCTTGTACTGTTGTGAGACTCATCAGACATACATTCTCAGGAGATACAGTATTTGAGTGAAACAGAAAACTTGAATGCTGGGTGTAAATTTACTCTGATCTGGGAGGAAAACGATGACTTGCCTGCCTGTTTTTATAGTTTGGCCACAGTGACAAAGTTCACTAAAATAATTTTCACAGTTAAATCAAAGAGTGGAGTCTTGCTGAGGGTATTTTTACTGATGCTGATGACGGTGTTAGATTTTCAGTTCCAGCTACACTGCTGCCTCTGCTGTGCACTTTGATTCAAAATAGCTTATATGCTCTAAACTACCTGCTGGTTAATAAGCTATGGCATGGAAAGAGAAGGGACGTTATTTCTTTGATGTTTGGCCCTAGTTTGAGTTGCTAAGGAACAGCACACCTAGTATTAATGTTGAGCGTGTGAAGATGTAATGACAGGACTGATCATAAAGAGGAATTCTAGGATTTATATTAAGTTAAGAAACTGTGAGTCGGTTGGGCATCTTTCTTTGCCTTTAGACAATAATTCTGATGACAAAAGAGCCAAACGGGAAAGGCCAAAAAAAAAAAAAAAAAAAAAAAAAAAATAAATATGTATTTTTTTTTTTTAGATTATTATTATATATAATATATATATATAATATATATATATAATTATATATATATAATATTATATATATATATATATATATATATATATATGAGAAAGAAAAAAAAAAGAAACTGAGTCTTTTTAATCTTGGGTTACTGTTTACGCTTGATCACAATATGAATTCAACATATTATGATTACAAGATTTTCCTTACAGAGAAACAACTTTTTGCGTTTACTTGTTTTTTTCTCTGTGAAACACTTATTTTATATTATGTTGAATATAAATCCAGTGCAGTGTTTTGGCTCCTTCTTTAAAGCTTAAGCTCAGTCTTAGTTTACTCCGTTTCACCCAAAGATGCAGGTAAAAGAGCCCTTTGTTCAAAAGGACCCATCTAAAGGAAATGAACGTCACAAGCGTTTAATAGGTGAACATGTAGAATAGCAAAAAGCTCAATAAATTATGAGCAATCGTGTGAAGTAATTGAGATCTCAGTCTTGACCAAGCTTCTCTAAACTAAATGATTTTTGTCATAATCAAGTAGCCCCAATAAATCACAGGAATTAAGACAAATTAGAGGTACAGTGAAGACGTAATAACATAATTTTTTCTTATTGATCTGCAATTTCAAGACAGAGAGAAAAAGTGTGTGTGGGTTTTTTCCCCATTTTATCTGTTATGATGTGGGTCTTATTGAATCATACCAAATGGATTTTATTTGCAATATCTAATTACTTTTTTCTTAACATCTTTTTCATTCATTTCATTTTCAGTCATTAAATGCGTTATTGTGGATACTGCAACTAATAATGCTGAGCGTCGCCCTGTAGCCAGGTGAGATATAAAGGTGCTAATTCAGTGGTGATTTGTATTCATTACAGTTGTGAAAATCGATCTCTACAATACAAATATAATACCGCTATTCAACATTGGTTGAAGTTCATAAATGAGAGAAAACTGAGCAGCACCAGGATTTTCTCATCAAACTGTGCTTCAATTGTTTCTTTAAATATTCTCTTCACTCGCTGCTTACAAAAGATTTTTGATTATTTTATTCAGACACATTCTTCTTGTTCTCTTGTGTTGAAGTGTGAAAAAAAATAAATAAATAATACATGCAGTGCCAGTATATCCAAGCTGTTCACATTTTCTTCCCTGTCTGCTTGTGCTTTGTCCCTCCGTGCATAAACCTGTAGCTCTTAAGATAGACTCGAGCTAGAAATACGAAGCTCTGAATAAATGAACTTGGGGTTAACATAAAGTCATCAACTCCCTAAATGACTTTGGCATATGCCATCTCCCCGACTCTCATAAATCCCTGCGTCATTAAAATTGCATTAATTATGAAGTATCAGTGTTTGACAATTCTTTGCATATTCTGAAATAAATTAGTGTCGCATTTGATCAAAATTAACTAAATCTTTTAACCATCAGTCACTGCCACGTCTGCTACATCTGCCGAACACTTCCACTCACTTTAAATCCAGATGACGTTTTGCTCAAAGTTGCACAAAATGAATCACTTCAGAGACATCGTTGTTATTTTGACATAAGTTATGGAGATAAGGACAGATGGATTTCCATGGCTGCATTTTAACAAAAGCGTTGACTGCCCTCTGTGTTTTCTCTCTTGCTTCACCTCAGCACCCTCATCTGGCCTGGCTCAGTGTCAGCTCGGCGTTTGCTGTTTTTCCATTAAATCATCTGCCTGAAACATTTTTCATTTCCATTTATTATGCAACAGAATGCATTCAGAGGTAGACCATTAATCCATCTCGCTTAAAAAGTAAACTTTGCTTCTACTGCTCAGGTCAGACAGCTCTGCGGTACCTTTCCTACATACTTAATCTTTGACTAAATTTGGATCTCGTTTTGTTTCGCTCTAAAATTACCATGGAAACACAACACCCCTCTCAACATAATTATACTTTTTAACATGTATTAATAAAGGCTATTTGTATGTTTTTTGTTTGCCCTGCGATGCACCTTTTTTTTCTAGTGTGCAGGTGTAAGCATGTCGGATGACTCGATGTCTTGAAGGTTATACACGGCCCATTTGACTAATGGCCCGACTCTCTGTACATGCTCATGCTAATCACTTCTCTGATTGATTGTGGTGCTCCAAAGCACTAATGGCATCATTAGCTGGAACTGTTGTGGCAGTCTCGGCTCTGAGCTTTCAATTCCCTAACAGAGATTTTCTTTATCCTTTCTGTTGTTATTAAGATCCTAGACTAGGATGGGTTCATTTTAAATTTAATTGGCTTTATTTTTAGTAAAGGTGAAAAACGTAGATCCTTAACCCCGAGTGTTGCCACGTTCAGTCTTTGGTCATTCTGTTAGTTAAGCTGTAGCGAGTGTTACCATGGAAACCCTGGAACAAATCCTGTAGTAAGAAAAATGATCAGAAAAAAATGAAGAGAGAGACGGCAAGCAAAGCTGCAGTGAGACTTGTATCATTAGTAAGGGAATGATACATTTGCACCTGGATGCTAATTGTACGTAAACATGATGGACTTTTTTTTTTCTTTTTTTGCAGGGGGTAGGTGAGGTCCGGGCCTATAGTGACACAAGTGAAACTTTGCTTTTGGTGTACTTTATGAAATCCTGCCAATCAGAAGAGAAAAAAACAGCTGGAAATTCAATTCTTGATTTAACAAGATTTTTATGTGTCAAAGCTGCTAATTCTGTCTTCCCAGCCATCTTAAATGTGCAGCAGAGTGATTTCTCTCATGATCAATCAGCTGTCTGAGCTCAAAGGACCAACATGCTAATCTTTACCAGCTGTACAAGAGCAAGCTGATAACTACCAAGTTACAGTCTGACACACTCAAGAAGCTGTGAGCATGCATGGGGAGAGTTTTTAATGTTTGCTAGTTGCCCGAAGCAAGAAAGAGAAAAGTTTTAGCTTTATTTGTTGCACATATTTGTGACTACCTTCAGAGACTCTGCCTATTTTCATGATAGTGTTACTTTATTAATTCAATTTGTGCTTATGGACTGTATTACCTTAAAAAAAAGAACAAAGTAATTTCACCTGGAAAAATACGTGACATGCAAAGTTTAAGTGTTGATTCATGGGTAACTTTCAAAGTGAGTATAACTGGGGAAAAACGGACAAACCCATTGTAGAACCCAGCTAGACTTGCTGATTTCATTTGTAGTTTCGATGCAAATAATGCAAATTTAAGTACCCTCATTTTGTAAAAAGGTAGAATTAAAATAGTTTGCTTATTGCATAACAGCCAGCAGTTGGTGCTCAATAAGTGTTATGGCAGAAACAAACATTGTAAATTAGATTTCACTGACCTAAAGTTACCCCCATTACTATTTCTACCAACAGGTCTGGGCAGTGTTATATAATTGTTCACGCCCTATACAACAAAAGAGTGGAAAAGTTGTGAAAAAGTCAACTGTGTCGGTATCAGAACTGAATACAGTATACCAGAGTATCTCAGTCTTTCAGAAGTAAAGATAAGAATGGGTTCTTCTTTTTTAAGCTTGTGTAGGAAAATATTTCCATCATAAACTTGATAATCTCTAGATACTATCATATTGTAGTAACCGATAGTAACAGTTCCAGACAATTATCTATAAGGGAAAACTCCAGTGCTGAATGAGCATGATCTACTAGCTAATACCTCTAAGAACTCCTTAAAAAATGCATAAAAGTAAACAAATAAATCACAATTCTTAAATGACTCACAGCAATGTTTCAGTAACACTTCTGAAAATGTGTGTTTATGTTCAGTGAGCAAAGATTGTTCACAAATGCAAGTCAGAACTCTAACAGCACCCAAACAAGAGCCAGTAATGCTGCCATTGCCATCTGGATACACAAAATCTGAAAGTCTGTTTGAAAATCAAGAGTACCATATCATGCAAATTAAAGAGAAGAGGCATTATGTAGCTTTGTGGACAGGCTTGAGTAACATGATGTCACATAATTGTCTTTAAGAAAGACCTTGCTTATTTCTGCAAGACAATGTCAAACCACTAGAGTGCTTTGAGTACTCCGGGAGAGTAGAAAAGCGCTATATAAGAATCAGTCCATTTACCACTGCTAACCAATTTATTTTAATGCATTATAAAAACAAACTGTACAAAATTCAGTTGAATATAGAATTTCAATGACTTGCACATTATGTCTTTTTGCATTTAATTCAATTTCCAGCAATGCTCCAACAATTATGGAAACAGGAATGCTTTTAGTGTTAAGTTTATCCCAGGGTAAGACATCAATTGTTTTCTGTTGATTCTTTGGTGTGCAGACTGAATCATGGTCGGGGTTATCAAAGTGTGTGGATGGCCGCAGGGAGTCATAAAGGTTAGGAGTGTGTTTGCAGAGTGGAGCTGGGATGCTGCCAACCTGTCAGACAGTGTTTAGCTAGTGTCAGTTGGGGAAAATTCTAAGTGTAACTGAAGCTGATTGTGTAATCATGGGGACTGGAGTCCAGCTGGATGAATGACACACGAGTTTTAGGGTTATTAAAACTGGGACATTCATTGAGATGTGTGCACGCCCACATTTTAAGCACCGTCCCCTTTTTTGTTGTAACTACTTGCTCGTCAGATTTTAAATGTCCTTCTGCTCTGTCTAAATGTGGGCCAGGTGTGAGGATAGATCTAAAGCAGCTGCTTCCCGCTATTTTTAAATCAAAAAAGGTGGTGGTAGTTTAATAAAAAAGAGCAGCAGCATGAAAACAAACCTAATCAACCATGAAGCAGATGAAAAAAAAGGATAGTGTTTGCCTGGCTTGCTCCCTTTGTCCTCAAACGAGAAGCTGATTTTGGAGGTAGCACAGAATCCGTATGAATAACAACTACGAAGAGGTTCAGTGACTGCATAAAATTATGGATACTGGGGGGATAATATCTGATTTTTCACATTACTGTTTGTTGACAGGTCTTGGTCAGTCCCACACACCTCATCTCTGCTGGAGGCTTTAGCAACTTGAAGCTTTACCAACTTGAGGCTTCATTAACCACTATTAGCATTACAAGTATGAACGCCTGACTAAGCTGCAGGTTCAGCTTTGGTTGTTGGTAATGTAGGTGGAAGGATTTGTCAGATTCTGTCCACTTTACTCCAGCAGTCTAAGAGTACAATGTTAATGATGTGCTATAAAATTCCTGATTTATTTTAAATAAGTTGTGGTTTTGAAAATGAGCAACAAAATCAGTCAGACAAATTGATGTGTTATATAAGATATATGGAACATCATAATCTACTCCCTAATGATGCGGAGAATCAATTAAAAACATTTAGCAGTGGCAGCAGATGTGGCATAAGTATATTGAACGAGCAGGTGAAACCTAACATCAGCGGTCTCTTTTTATTGAGCTGTTCCTCGTTATGTTTCTGTGACCACTGACAATTAATAAAAATAGAGGTGATCATGTTCAGCACAGTTTGCTTCTGTAATGTTGGGCGATCGACAGCACCGGTGTTGTGGGTTCCTCCAGGCCACCCTCGAGCCATCAGGGCTGGAGTCATTCCACTTCCACCTCTACTGATTTAGCAGAAAATGAAGTAAATCTGCTTTTCATTAGCCGGCGAGGAGCTAGTAACCCTCAGTTATTTCTCTCTAATTTTGACAAAGAAAAATATAATACGTACATTTAATAAAATAAACGAGTTCAAAATTCTGATTAAATAATAGCTGTGCTCAGTTTTTATTCTTAGGTTTCTAAATGTGTTCTTAATATTCTTTTTGCACTACAATTGTGTGTTTTTATTATCAATCCCACAGATATCATTAGGGCTTCATGCAATTTAACATTATTTCATCTCAACTTAACACCTACTGTGCAAGTTGAGCTGCTTTTAGACAGTTGCTGAAGTCATTCGCAGTATAGAAAGCTAGTTTTAAAATAAGTCTTTCTGACTATGTGCAACAGAGCTCCTGTGGTTTTTTTCCTAACACAAAAAACGATGCTTCTTTTTCAGCCTGCAGGCTAAATTACAGCATCTCCATCACTGCTAACTGTTTTCTTGCTGAGACTGTTTTTTTGGTGGCTTTCTTTGAGTGATGTCACCTCCTGCTCCGACAGAGCAGACAGCTGTGCCGTTTACAGGTAGGATGATCACCACGCGCCCTATTATTCTCTATGTGACTCAGACTTTTCAATCATAATGAGTATGCAGGTGAGTGCAAAGGGCAACTTCTGTAATAGTCGGTCTTGAGTAGAACCAGTTTTTTCTGAATTTGGCACAGCAGACTGATTGCTTATGTTCAATTAAGCAACATGCTGATTTGTGTTTTACTTCAAAAATAGACCAGTTATTTATCTCATTCTGTTCACTGAAAAAAGTAAACATTACTTTTAGCTACAAAATTATAGTCCTGTATATGTGACTTGTATATATGTCTGAACACCCCTATGTATTTATAGTCCTCTTCACTAAGACTGAATTTCGTAGCTGAAAGTGGCAGTGATCAATATTCATGTTAACTGATTACTGAAGGTGTTGCTACTGGTAACAAATCCACAGATAACTGCCACTTATCTCACGTCCTTTCAGCTCTACAGTCTCCTTTGTTTGTCTCGGTTTACTGTTTTTAAGCGTCTCACCAGCATTTGTCTTTTGAGCTGCTGCACATGGAGGCAGTTTGTACAGAGTGACATACTTTATCTAAACAAACAAAGTAAAGAAAACCGAGACATATCAGATTTATTTAGCTTAATCCTCAGAATTTTATAGAGCAAAAGAAATGTTGCTTAAAAATACACTGATAAGATTTTGACTACTAATGAGGTCAGTCTTTTTGATTAACAGAAAAAGAGTGACTGCTTGGATAAAAATGGTGTGAACACTGTGTAGGTTTTACAGAAAATGCATTTTAGTGGGTGATTCTAAATGTAAGAATAAGTCACTGAAAAACTTCTGGAAAGTGTCTCTAAGGTCTATAACAGAGAAATGTTTAGTAAAGGTTTAGTCTGGCTTATTTTTACACACAAAAAATATCTAGAGCAGGTGTTGCTATAAACCAAAGAGACTGCCTTCTACAGGAGAAGAATGCCGGAGGACAGTTCTGCCTGCATCAGCTACATCAAAGACACTTTTCGTGTTAATGCAAGGCAGCAGCTGTTTTAAGGTTAAATCAATTAAGCTAAATTGATGAGCACAGCAGCATTCACTACCTTTGTTTGAGTATATGAATTCTTTGATGGGGAACGTGCTGAGGATTTCACTGGAGCCAGTTTTCTGGCCTCAAATGAGCGCCACACCTCAACATATTGTTATCCTTGACACAGACTCGAAGATGATAGACAAGTCCAAGCCAAACCTCTGTCACATCACAAAGGAAGCTATCTCTAGATGGTTCTATGAACCCTGACAACAACTATTAGATGGAATAATGATTAAATGAGCTACTATCATGAGACATCAGTCTTTAAGTTTTAATCAGTAGCTACCCAGGGACTTATCTTTGTATTAAAAAAATAAAAGCTTTAGGTCCAGCTGGAAGATGGAAAGTGAAGCTGCCCGCTAAGCTTTTTTCTCTTGATGACAAGTGTTGCTGCCGTTAGTTTGGAAAAGTCTAACAGCTCAGAAAAAGCCACTGATTACTTCGCCTGCCACCGCTAACATTTTAAATTAAGCTGGGGTTTTGATTAATGGCATCCCAGCGCATGTATACTGTTTTTCTTTGCCTCCTGTGTCCTGCTTGCCCTTGACACAGCCTCACCTGTGCATTCACCAACAAGGCCAGCGTGGAGCTTGCCCTCTTGTGAATCAACTACAACCTCGCAGAGTTCCTGTTTAACTATTAAGTGTTTAATGCAGGCTTCTGAAACATTCTAGGCCTCATTAACATGAATCTATGAATGTTTAATTGTGGTTTGTATTTACAAGCTGCTCTCTCGCTGCCAGTTTGCCACTATGTGGCCTTTGATCTTGTGACGGTGCATTTGACTAAAACATACCGGATTATTTTATAGGACTCACATGCTACGATGCTGCAGCTATACAATGCGGTCTAATTGTATCTGATGTTTGGGCTGGCTGTGTCCCTAATTAATCTGTGATTTCCCTTATGTTTTAGAATTGCAAATTGGATATATTGAGCCTTTGAGCTGTTCGTTACACTGGCTGCATAGCTGGACTGAGAAACCCTCTTTATGGCTCCAAGCTAATTATTCAGCCTGTGGATCCAAGCTCTGGAAGGCTGCCTCTGCCTCTAGCTGTAGGCAGTGAATGTGTGCGTGCTTATGCATTCCACCATAGCATACAGTAGGCGTTAGAAGAAATATGTATACATGCACGCATTTGACATTCCAGATTTCACACTGTGTTCCTGTTCTTTGTATTTTTGCTGGTTATGCATTATACATGGACCTGTTTTAACGTTTTCACAGTGCACGTTTTGCTGTTTGGGAACGATGCGCTTCATTATGTGTGCAAATGCGAGCACATGCCAGTTTGGATTTCTGTGCTAATTTCTCTTGACAGCTTGAAATGTTTCTTTAAACTTATGTGTGGGCTCTATAGTTCAAAGTTAAAAAATGTCTTATCATTACGCATTCAAAGATGAGATCACAAGAAGTTGTCAAGCAGCGTTCGAGAACTTTCAGCTGAACGGCAAAAAGCAACACGGTTCCAGTCAAAATCATGTCAAACCCACACGCGGAGTTCGATATTCACCCCGTGATGTTAAGAAACCGTTTTATATTAATTAGTTTGGTCTCTGGCATTTATTATATACTACTACAAAAATGATCTAATATCCTGATAATTATTCAGAGCCACCACACATTGCAGGTTCTGACAAATTATATAGACGGGGTTATATTCTGAGCTTTATTTTACATTTTTCTGTAGAAACAGAGAGCAGCTTAGGGGAGTTTAATGAAGCAATCTAAAAAATTAAAATGAAGTGGAAAAATAGCCTTCATCACACAGGGAGAAAATGGTCTCCTCTATAATTGGCACAAGAACATTACTGAATGTTAATGAGTGAAACCTTGAATTTTACAAAACCATGCATTGCAGGACTCGGTGAACAAGAGCCCTTACAGCGAGTTGGCTCTGAAGCTGTCTGTTTACTTGTATTGACGAAGGCTATTTAACTTGACTGTCCTAAACGGAGAGTGCTTGTTGGCGCAAGTGATATTTGCAGACCAGGAATGCAATAATCCTTCACCATTAAAAAAGGAAAAAAAAATGGTACAAAAGGTGGGTTTGCATCCGAAACGAGGTAATAAGATAACATTTTGTTGTGTGGAAGGTTGTTCTGCTCAGAGCCACAAAGGACACGCTCAAAGACTGAACTATGCCTCTACGTTTTATGAAAAATAAAATGAGCTTTCTCAGAGAATTGAACATGCAGCCTCGCTTGCTATGTATTAAGGTCGTTGTCTTTATAGAACTACAGAGGCCACCAGCGCTACTTACAAAGAACCAAATAAATTAAAAATGGAAAATATGTGTAAAAAAAATGAATGATTTACAAAGTTTTTTCAATTCATAGCACTAAACATACCATTGCCAGAGTGTTTATTTGGGTCATATCAATTTTGCTATTGAGATATTAAAAAAATAACAAAAAAATCAGTGGTTGTTCCTTAACCTGAGTTTAGATCTCAGGTTATGGAACAAGGACAAATGTACGTGAAATAGAGCAGCTTGGAATTAATCAAAAGAAAAATGTGTATATATAATTTTCTTTCCGCTTATTATTTTGCTAGACTAAAATGTCTAAGGTTTAGTGGACCATTTCAAGTTAAAGTTAAGAGAAAAATCCAGTGAATCTCAATGAGCAGGTCCTTAGCTGAGGGAAGACGGTCCCTTTACTAGACAAAGTGCTAAAAGACCAAAGCTAAAGTCGGCAAAGAGTGCATAACCCATTTTATTCCAATCCAGTTTTTCCAAACAAATTTAAAATCTCTATTGCCGGAATAAAAAGAATGAGATAAAAAAAAAAATTAACCCAGAGAACATGAGATTCTACGCGTGGCTTTTGTGCACTGCATGCACACAGCAGCCTCTCATCGCTCTGAGGCTGTGTGGCTCAGCAGCAGCAGCAGACAAACAGAGGGGGGCGAAGGACGGCGCAAGTTAGCACAGAGAGAGACAGGCGCTCTCATCAGTGACGGGCTCACCGGCTGCGTGGACAGAGCTGTGGCGCAGGAGGAGGAGAAGAAGAGCAATGGGGGGACAAGCTGCCTGAAAAGCAGAGCAAAACAGAGGAGCAAAAGCGTGAGAGACATCGAGAGAGAGAGGGGGAGAAAAAAGAGAGATCACAGAGAGGAGAGAAGTCATTCAGACCAGGGAGAGGGAGCGAGCTGGATGAAGCTGACAAGGACACAGAGAGAGGAAAGCGCACACAGAAGCCTTTCCTGATGGAAGAAAAGCAAGGGAGTGCTCGGACAAAGTGAAAAAGAAGAAGAGGAGGAGGTGGGGTGCCCAACAGGAGGTCGAGCTTACGGGGCTTGACTGACATAAAAGACAAGAGGAGGAGGAGCATGAGGGCAAGTTGATGGATTTGATTTGGAGAGAGTATTTTTAGAAGGAGGAGCGGAGACATGAGGGGAATATTGAGATTAGAGATCCTGTCTGTGAGTGGGGGAGAAAAAACTAGGGGGGAAGAAGAAGAAGAAAGAATAACAGGAGACAGATAAGGGGGGAGAGATGTTGAGATGTGTGACAGAACAGATTATCTCTGGTCTGGTTTCCCGCAGGAAACCGCTGTGAGTGTTTGTCCGTGTACGTGCATGAGTGCCTCCTTCTCCATGTGAAAGTGTGTTGTGGTACGTCTCTAACTGTGGCCGCGCTGCTGAGAAGCAGGTCCGCTGCAAGATGAAGCTGTCCCGTGTTTACCTGCAGGACCTAATAACGCCGGTTAAAACAGAGTTCAGGGACAGACGAGGAGCGGATCAGTGACATCAGAAAGAACTAAAGGCACCAAAAGTGAGACCAGAAAGTGGGAGAAGAAAACAAATGAGGATCGTAGACTTTTGCGAATTCAATTAAACCACATACTTAATAGTGACAAGGAAGTGATTGCTGCCTCTGGCTGATGAATGCTTCTGCAAAGCTGTGAAGCTCAAAAACACATACTTAACCCAAAAGAAGACAAAGCACAGCGCTGGAACACGGCTCTTCTTGCGGACTGCACCACACCAACCAATTCTGTCCTCTGTCATCTCATTATTTTAATTACCTTCCCTTCTTTCATTTGTTTTTTGTCCTCTGTACTAAGCCCGTGGTATTTTGTATTCTGTCCTCTTCTCTCCCTCTCTCCTCTCCTCCCCTCCCTCTTCCTCCTGCCTTCGCTCTCTCTGTCTCATCCTCTCTTGTTCACTGTCACCCTAACTGCCGTGGATGCTGGAGTCATTCATGTAGAAGACACCTTGCTTGGAGCACATTTGCCTAGCTGATTTTTTTTCTGTCCCTGCTGAGCTGGATGATTGGAGCACTCTCACATGGAGAGACCAAGAGAAATGACCAACAAGTAGCTGCTGCTCAGTTCAACAGAGCTCCTGCACCAATAGGCAGCTTCAAAACACACAGCTTTCGTAAGGTCACTTTTTGTGTGTGTGTGCATGCAGTGTCAATGCACTTCAAAGTCTATAGGTCTGTAGTGTTTTTTAGGGTCAACACATATCCATGTGTGGATTACAGTAGTGGATTTATCCTGGAGCTACATGTGGGCCCCAGCCCCTGAGGCCTGGCTGGGAAATGAAGCCTTTCCCGCAGCTTTAGGAGCACTGTGGACAGCGATGGCCTTGGAAGGGCGCTGTCTCCGGAGGGGATCCCCGGCCATGATCAGAAAAGGCCGTCAGCGGCTTCATCCGAAGCCAACTCTGGCCCAGGTCACTTCCACTCTGCTGTCAAGGACACGCCTACACGGTTTGCGGCATATTTGCGTCCCTGGTGGCTCTGTGGGCCGCAGGGCCTTCTGGCTTCTGGCACTCTGCACCTCTGTAGGGTTGCTTTTATCCTGGTCCTCCAACCGCTTACTCCACTGGCTTTCCTTTCCCACATACACGCGAGTCCACACTGAATGGGCCAAAGAACTGGCTTTCCCTACAGTCACTATCTGTAACAATAACCCTATCCGCCTGTACAAACTCACCAAGAGTGACCTGTACTTTGCTGGCCACTGGCTGGGCCTGCTGCTTGCTAACCGGACAGTGAGACCCATGGTTTTGGACTTGCTTCAGGAGGACCGTCGCACCTGGTTCAAGAAACTGTCAGACTTCAGGCTCTTTCTCCCACCCAGAAACTTTGAAGGGACCAACCTGGAGTTTATGGACAGACTGAGCCACCAACTGGATGACATGCTTCTGTCCTGCAAATATAGAGGAGAGCCATGTGGAGCTCATAACTTCTCTTCTGTAAGTCGGCTTCTTGTGTTTTTCTTTCTGAAAGCAGTAAACTGCAGTATAAAAGTTAAAATAATATTTGCATCATGCTGAAGCAACTCGTCTTTTGCGGTAGTCAGCCTGAATACACAAGACTGTAAAATCTGTTTTACGCATAACTGGCTGTTAAAACTTTGTTGGTCATCATAGAAATGTTTGAACATCATTTTCTGCATTTATTAAATCACCACCAGACCTCTTGGCCAAGAAAATAACCAAGGGATATGAGTTTATGCATTTTCACAAGATTTGTTTCGGAAGTTGCATGACAGTAGCCATTATCATACATTAACACAGATGAAATGGGCTAATTATCGGCTCGTGGGCAAGAATGGCTATTAAACGACCCCTACATATCAAAAATGTTCTTTAACAGTACTGCCCCAGGTTAGTTTACTGCCTCTGTGTCTGATCGCTCATCTTCTTTTTCTCTGCGGATGTGAGTTTGGTGGATTTCTGTGCCCACACTCTCTCGTGGGCTCCCTTGCCATGTTTGAACCATGGCAGATGTTTTCTCTGTGGAAATGTTGAAGCTCAAGCTGTGTTTTAAACTTTTTTTTTTTTGTCTTTTTTTCCCTTTTCTGCTATGTACTCAGTGTTGGAAACAGAAGGAGAAAGGATTAAGTATCTGTATGAAATGCACACAAATCTAAACAAATCCATAGTGAGCGTAATTATAGTTGTTTTTTTCGACTGGTGACAATTAAATATATTTGGATTTTACTTTTTAGGTTTTAGTTTAGACTTTTAGTATTTATTTTTTGACATCATTAGTGGCTTTGTCTGCTTTTACTGCAATAAAAAAGGAACCAAGACAAAACATCACATACAGCACATGGTGTGTACTGAATGTGAAGCTGAAGAAAACAGTTAGAACTCCACAGATTTAATCAAAGTCTAATTTGAGGTCTTGAGGAGTACATATAGCAGGTGGAATATTAGTCATTTGCCATGTGTTGACATAGATTCCTTCTTTTAGAAGAAGCTAGCGTCACTGTCTTAATTGCTATCATTTTGGTTTTGAATGAAGACAACAAATCTGACAAGAAGTAAATTTAGCAGATCTATGTTACCAAAGACTTTTCATTTACTTCTGCTACTAGTGCTGCATTAGTGCTCTGGCTGAACAGTTGATTGTCAAGTGTCATTGTTGGGTAGTCTAGGCTTTAGGTTTCAGGTTAATGTCAGGTAATGCTTTCTTTACAACAGTTCATTTTAATTTACTTTAATGCTGATTCTTCTAATGGAGAACATTTTACCACAGGTTCAACATGCCCTCCTGAACCTAATAACTAGTTAATTAACATGGTATCTAGCATGGACTCAAAACACTGTGGCCAATCCTACGAAGGTTTACCAGTATTCCAAGTTTTCTTCATTTGTGGATATTGGTTCGCTGCAGTCCCAAAGGCTTAGAAATGGCTTAGTATCCCTTTACAGATTGATAGATATCAATAAGTTTGTTGTCTAAAGCTGTTTCTTTAGATCGTGGCATGATGTGTTGCTAGTTTTGTTTTCCTTCTTCATCAATACTGTCAGACTGGCAGGACATTTCAGGTGGTATACTCACAATTACACTAAAAATCCCAGTGAATTACAGTTGTTGTGTTTAACAAGAAAACTATAGCTAACTGTGTTTTTCTCTCTTTATGCTTTTGAATAGAACTGAGCAGACCATCATCATCATTATCACTTCAGTAATGAGATTCAGAGATGAATAGCTTTTTAGTTGTTCTTGTTGTCTAATACAAGTTCAGTCTTTTAGTGTTTAAGCTCTTACATGGCTTGCCATGCAGCCTTAGAAACAAAAGCTGAGAAACAAAGCAGCATAATTGCATTGCTTCGAAACCTCCTTACAGTAAAGCACAGATTATAAAAATATACAACAACTTAGGGTTAAGGGGAAAATAGATTTTAGGGATGTTCAAGGAGTGTGTTAAATGATAAAACAATATCAGAGATTGAAGAGCCGTCTGAAACCATTAGTTGCATTCTTAAATAACCAATAACCAGAGGTGGCTGTAGCTCAGGAGGTAGAGCAGGTCATTTTCCAATTGAAACATTAATGGGTCAATCTCTGCCCATTCCAGTATGCATGCCACAGTGTCCTTAAGAAAAAAGTATCTCAAGTTGCTCTCCAATATGAGCAACTTGGGCAAGGGTGAATATTATAAAAAGTGCTCAAATGAATGTGTGTGAATCGGTGAATGACACTCAAAATATAAAGCGATTTCAGTCCTCAGGTAGAGCAGGAAAGCGTTTTATAAGAATCAGCTCATTTACCAAATCATATTTTGAATGCACTTACAGTGAGGCAAAAAAGTATTTAGTCAGCCACCGATTGTGCAAGTTCCCCCACCTAAAATGATGACAGAGGTCAGTAATTTGCACCAGAGGTACACTTCAACTGTGAGAGACAGAATGTGAAAAAAAAATCCATGAATCCACATGGTAGGATTTGTAAAGAATTTATTCGTAAATCAGGGTGGAAAATAAGTATTTGGTCAATAACAAAAATACAACTCAATACTTTGTAACATAACCTTTGTTGGCAATAACAGAGGTCAAACGTTTACTATAGGTCTTTACCAGGTTTGCACACACAGTAGCTGGTATTTTGGCCCATTCCTCCATGCAGATCTTCTCGAGAGCAGTGATGTTTTGGGGCTGTCACCGAGCAACACGGACTTTCAACTCCCGCCACAGATTTTCTATGGGGTTGAGGTCTGGAGACTGGCTAGGCCACTCCAGGACTTTCAAATGCTTCTTACGGAGCCACTCCTTTGTTGCCCGGGCGGTGTGTTTTGGATCATTGTCATGTTGGAAGACCCAGCCTCGTTTCATCTTCAAAGTTCTCACTGATGGAAGGAGGTTTTGGCTCAAAATCTCACGATACATGGCCCCATTCATTCTGTCCTTAACACGGATCAGTCGTCCTGTCCCCTTGGCAGAAAAACAGCCCCATAGCATGATGTTTCCACCCCCATGCTTCACAGTAGGTATGGTGTTCTTGGGATGCAACTCAGTATTCTTCTTCCTCCAAACACGACGAGTTGAGTTTATACCAAAAAGTTCTACTTTGGTTTCATCTGACCACATGACATTCTCCCAATCCTCTGCTGTATCATCCATGTGCTCTCTGGCAAACTTCAGACGGGCCTGGACATGCACTGGCTTCAGCAGCGGAACACGTCTGGCACTGCGGGATTTGATTCCCTGCCGTTGTAGTGTGTTACTGATGGTGACCTTTGTTACTTTGGTCCCAGCTCTCTGCAGGTCATTCACCAGGTCCCCCCGTGTGGTTCTGGGATCTTTGCTCACCGTTCTCATGATCATTTTGACCCCACGGGATGAGATCTTGCGTGGAGCCCCAGATCGAGGGAGATTATCAGTGGTCTTGTATGTCTTCCATTTTCTGATGATTGCTCCCACAGTTGATTTTTTCACACCAAGCTGCTTGCCTATTGTAGATTCACTCTTCCCAGTCTGGTGCAGGTCTACAATACTTTTCCTGGTGTCCTTCGAAAGCTCTTTGGTCTTGGCCATGGCGGAGTTTGGAGTCTGACTGTTTGAGGCTGTGGACAGGTGTCTTTTATACAGATGATGAGTTCAAACAGGTGCCATTCATACAGGTAACGAGTGGGGGACAGAAAAGCTTCTTACAGAAGACGTTACAGGTCTGTGAGAGCCAGAGATTTTCCTTGTTTGAGGTGACCAAATACTTATTTTCCACCCTAATTTACGAATAAATTCTTTACAAATCCTACCATGTGATTCATGGATTTTTTTTTCACATTCTGTCTCTCACAGTTGAAGTGTACCTCTGGTGCAAATTACTGACCTCTGTCATCATTTTAAGTGGGGGAACTTGCACAATCGGTGGCTGACTAAATACTTTTTTGCCTCACTGTACATGCCATTTTAGTAGACATACACCCATTTTCTATCTACAGACACACGATGGTTTCATCTCTTATTTTCCACCCTGGTGTATTTTAGAACTTCCAGGACAAAGAAGGACGGAGAGCGGTGCTGCCATGTGAAATAGCTGTAGCTCCAACTAGTGATGAGTGGCTGCATAGCATCTTAGACCAAAGAGTGAACTTAAGTTGTGCATTAATAAAGTTGAATAATTGCTATGGCCAATTGTATTAATCATCTAGCTGACTGATCGCACACATCTCTTGTTGTTTCTGTGTGTGTGCATTTCAATCAAACTAGTTTTCATTAGTTTTACTTATTTGTAATGCTGAACTTTGTGTTTACTGTCTTTTTGTCCTCTGTCAGAAACAGGACAAAGCACATCAGAGTGCTGCCATGCAAGTTAAGCGTGCAATCAGAACCATGCCCCAAGCCATCCATTAATTTTTTTAAGAATGCTGATGATTGCAGTAAAGACAAAAAATATATTCTTTCTGGTTTAAATTCAGATATTTGAAATATTTGCAGCAGTAGAAAGGGCTCGTTGCTGCTATCGATGTCAAGGAGAAGCATTCAGTTGGTTGGCTGCAATATAACAATGCAAAACTTTTGATACTGAATCCATTCAGGATGTGAACTGTTCAAGCAGCAGTTCTGTCCTGAATGATTTCCTTGCTTTCACAACATACAAACGTCCAAACATAAAGACTCAATCTGTGCAACCTATCTCCATACCAGTAAATCCAAAAGGCAGAAACCATAAGGAGCTAGGTTGATGCAGCGCTAGCACAGTTTGATCCCCAACCAAGCGAGAATTAGCGCATATTTTTCACCATGTAAGTTTCCTTATTTAGTTATTACATGGATACTAATGATAAGTTTCTCTGCAGATCACATTGATGCTCCAGTCCTGTTTTCTTTTTCATCTTGTTGTACCTTAAAGTGGGCCTCATGGCGTTAACGGGCCTCAGTGGTTTTGCTAATCTCATTAGCCTGCTGCTACAAGTCAGCAAAGACTCCCTGAGGCCTATTCATTATCACTGTATTTAAAG